CTTCACGTGAAAAGAATTCCCAGAAATGGAGAAGAAAAAACCATGAACAGTGGCACAATGGGCAAGAGCCATGAATACGCCTTTTCTCGGGAAAAATGGAAGTCGGTGGTCCTCAGCTTATAAGTGCTCAGAGTCATTTATAGAGAGACAAATGCAAATTGGTCCCCTAAAATGCCAGTTCTCAGCCGTCAGGCTGACAGAGCCCCAGAGGTTTGAGTGCTAATTCATCGGCGAGGCTGGGTGGAAGGCGCAGTGGACACAGTTGGCCACTGTGCAAAATGCACAGCTGATGAGGGTGTTGGCTGGGTCTAACCAAGTCACAGATGTGTCTCCCTTGATCTGTCCCGAGGACGCACACATGTGCAAGAACAGGAAACGACATGTGTGTGGGGGTTCTCTCAGCAGTGTAGGACTGGAAGCCACCCAAAGATGGACTGTGAGGTGCTGCTTGAAGCACCCACAAGATGGGAAACCCCAATGCTGTGAGGAACGAAATATGATATGGAGCTTATGTTATTCAGTGAAAATGTAGTGACGGCCTGTGAACATTGTGCAATCTCTTTTGTATAGAAATGGTGTTGCAAAAAGAAACACCGAAAAAACTAACCAAAAATTAATGAAAATGGATGCCTGCAGGGAGCTGACAGGAGTGGGGTCCTGTTTTGACTTTTGACTTTTGAACCAGGTCAATATTTTACACATTTGAACAATTAAATTAAAAAAAACTTCCTGATATTGCAAACAAGCTGACAAAAAGTAAACCTTTCTTCGTATTTTATTGATACATAACCCCATGAAGGAAAAAATCCTCTCAAGTACTTTCAGAACACTATAGCTTCACCTCCCATCCTTAGTGTGATATAGGCCAGAAAGTACTGGAAAGAAGCCATAAACTTCAGTGTTTAGGGGGAAAACAGCTTGTACAAGGCAATTTTGGAAAATTGTGGGAATTTAAATATAGACTAGGCATTAGATGGTGTTTAGGACTATTTTTAGCTTGGCACATTATATTTTGAACTTGATTTGGTAATGGTATTATGCTTATGTAGAAAGCAGCCCTTATGTTTCTAGAGATGAATGATGAAGTATGTGTGTGTCAAATGTCATAATGCCTGTCATTTAAAATATTTCAACCATAAAGTCATGAAAGCAAGTGTGGCAAATGGTGACAATGGTCACCTAGGACATAGGTACAGGGACAGTCACTGCACTGCTCTCTTCAGTGTTTGAAATGGTCCCTGAGTGAAAATAAAAACGATGATTAAAAATGAACGAGAAGGATCTGATTTAGACAAGGGGCTCGTGCGCGTGGTGGGGGCGTTTAAGCTGATCCTTGAAAATGAAGTGAGTGTGGAGGGAGCAAGGGGCTGGGCCGGGTCACAGCAGGAGCAGGGGTTTGGGTCATAAGAAGGCGACACAGCCTCCCAACCCCTTATTTTAGCTTCTTTCCTTATCCTGAAAAAGTATTCCCTCAAAATGCTAGCAAATTATCGAGGCTTCTTCTCCTAAGGAGCCATCTTCTCAACAGCCCAAGTCTGAGCTCAGCCTTCTACATATACCAGATGCTCTCATCTTCAGCTTCTTGAAACCATGATGGATACTTCGGAGACGGTGCAGCTGCTCCTCTCGGCTCCCAGGAGAAGAGGGAAATCTGGGTGTGCCTCTCCTCTGACCCTGAGAAGCGGCCCCCATGGGATCCCAGGCAGGGGAACAGGTGTGAGGGCTCAGACACAGACTATAATGTCCTAGAAACCAGTCACTGGCGGGTCACAGTTCACCTCCATCTCTTTAGTGGAACATAATCTAAGGGCACAACCGATGGGTCGTAGGCCCATGAAGCACGTGTCACTAAGTGGCTAGCCGTGGGTGATGGAGACTTCCTAGGGAGCCGTGTGGTCCCCGAGCTGGGGCCGGGCTGGGGACATGGGGCCCCTCTCAGCCCATCCAAGGGGCTGAGGCCGGGCTTGGGGCAGGTCCCTCAGATAGTTTTGGCTGAGTGTTTTCAGAAGAACCCAGAGTGTTTGGAGTCAAAGTGATATAACATTCAGGATTTGAGGAGCAAAATCAATGTATAAACACATAACTCATCATTTATTGACCAGGCACCATTTTGAACCCTCTGATAGATTTTCACAGGCTCAATCAGAAAAGAGTTTTGAGAGTGTCCAACTCCTGGCTGCGTGGTTGAGGCAAGGTTGAGAGATACGCTGCACTGGACAGTGAGAATGTGTGGCCTCTTGATGCATTAACAAATCACCACATACATGGCCTAAAAAACCACACAATTTGTTTAAAATCATTAAATTTGGTTCTGGAGGTCAGAAGTCCAAAATGGGTCAGTAGGGCCAGTTCCTACAGGGGCTCTGAGGAAGACTTCATTTCCTGCCTTTTCTAGCTTCCAGAAGCTGCCTGCATGCCTTGGCTCACGGCACCTTCCTGAACCTCCAGAGCCAGCAGTGTTCCATCCCCCGGGCTCCCTTCTCTAATGAGGACCCTGGGGATGACACTGAGCCCACCTAGATATTCCTGGGTGTTCCCCTAATTGGAGAGGATCCAAACTGTAAAGGGAGAATGGAAACCCATAGGAGATCACTGAAGCCCGAGATGGAAGTGCCCCCTGCTTGGGGCACCCAGCAGTTGGGCTGCACCTAGAGGGTGATCGTCTTGGAGCCGTGCCTAGGTGGAAAATGTTTCTTCCTGCATATCCTTAGCTTAAAAAAATGCATGGAAAGACTGAATATCAGTTGTAGTAATAAATGTAAATGTTTGATTTTTCCATAAAAAGCAAGAGCTATCAGAATGGGTGAAAAATGCTGCTACAGGCTGTCTACAAAACATGTACCTGAGACAGTGGTTCTTGAGAGGTTAAAAGTGAAAGGATGACAGACAAATGTTCACAAAAAGCAAACCAAGAAAGCAGGGTGCAACCCCCAGAACTCACAGCAAAGCCTGGGCACAGCACCGAGGGAGGCGACAGCTGACCCAGGCCAGAGGTCAGGACCTGCTGAGCCCAACACACAGACGGACGTGTGAACGAAGGTAAAGGAGACGCTGTCATCAATCAAACAGTCCTGGGGGGCTCTGACAGCCCTTCAGACATGGATGGATTATGGGGTGGGCTGAATATACCCTGCACATTCCCAGGACAGGCCAATGGATCCTGGGGACCTTCCAGGATCAGCGGATGCTTCCTGAGCACTCCCTGGGACCTCACAGGTCTCTCGTCCCTTTGGAGGACCCCCCTTCCAGGAAGAGGAAGGAACTGCAGCTTCAGGCTCCTAACGGGCTGGCAGAGCCTGGGCAGTGCCCCTGCAATTCTGGTTTGGGCCGAAGGAGGCACCATGATCTAAAATGCTGCTTTTATAAACTTGGAGAGGACACAGGCGTGGTGGGCCACAGGTTTCCTTCATCGCATATTTTAAAAAACAGAGTTCCACAGAATGAAGGGGACACTTTTTTTCCTGGTGGGTGTGGGGAGGCGAGGCTCAGAAGGACAGCATGAAGGAAAGTGTGGCTGATTCCCTTGGACTTGCCTTCTCAGCCAGCTGGTTCCAGTTAGAGATGAGTCACAGATGGATTAAGGCGCGGTCCCTTCTTAAAGGAGACACGCTATATTTCTGATTCTCACTTTCCTTCAGGAAGCGGTCCCTGGGGTGGCCACCCCCAGGCGTCCCGGAGAAACCCCAGACCCACCTGAAATGGTGGCAGAGGAGGGAGCCTGAGGGCAGCAGCGGGGTCCAGGCCACCCCCCAAGATGCCCCTTCCCTGCCAGCCCTCTCGCCTCCCACCATGGGTGTGTCCCGGAGGCCCAAAACAGAGAGGGGTGTGATGTCTGCTCCGGTGAGGGGACTGGGCCCCACCACAGCCCTTTCCGGCGGGCACTGTGGTGTTATGCTTCCATTTTGCCTTTGAGGAAATGGAGGTGAAGGGGCAGGCAACTGGCTGCAGGTCACATAGCTGTGGGCATCGGGGCGGCTGCTCCCTGCTGTGGGAGCCCCTCAGGCTAGGGGCGCACAGGGCTGGCTGGGCACATGAACAGGCTCCATGGATGATGGCCAAGCTGAGGAAAACGGACCCCACTGTCAGCTTTTGTCTGGTTCCTAGCATGTCTGCTTGACATGAATCCAGGGGCTGAGATGAGGTGTCCCCTTGCACCCCTCTGGAGACGGTGCCTGACACCCCGCTAATTCTACGTGGAGGCGCTGCTGTCTGCAGGAATCACAGAGGATCAAGGACCTTGTCCTCCCCTGCCCCACCGCTGGCTTTCTTGCAGCTCAGCTCTCATGGCCACGTTTTGTGAAGCATTTCAGGCATCAGGGGCCCCACCTGAGGAACACCGGCCAGGTTCCCTCCTGGTCAGGATCACCGGAGGCCCCGCCGCCCACTCATCCTGGCCCTGGCACCATGGGTGTCTTTCCCTGCACGTGTGTCTTCCTTCATCCACCGGCTGAGACAGCTGGGTCCCATGTCCTGCCTCATCCCCTGACAGCCCTGCCAGGGACAGACAGGCACTGGGGTTCCAATGGCTGTGCATTTCCTTGCTGTGCATCTGAGCAGGCTCAGCGTCCCCCGCCGCCTCCACCCTCCCGGAGGCAAGGGCCCGCTCCCTGGGGAGGGGGCGGACATGAGGCCGAGTCTCCAGGGTGTCTTCCCATGGGCCTCCCAGGTCCCAACACCCAAGTGTTTTGGGTGCCAGATGTGGCCCTTAGAGCTTTATCTTGCCGGGTCTGGCCAGCTCTCCCAGGCCCCGTGACCCAGCCTGCTTCTGACTCTGTGACCAGGGTGTCAGAGCCCCTCCCAGCTGCTCCCCATCTGCAGATGGCATTCATGTCACCGACATCTTCCCCAGTTGCAGAAAGGGGTGTCAAAGGGCAGTGTCAGGCCAAGGCAGGTGCCTGTGCTGGTGGGTACCCCAGTAGGCCCCTAACCTTGATTCTCCTGTTGGCTTGACGTGCAGACATGCCAGGGACTGTGACTCCTGGGAAAGATGACCACAGAGAGAAGAGTGAAAACCTTTATTTGGAAAATTTGCTGACATGGACATGGTTGAGGAAAAACACAGGGAGTAAAAAAACTTAACAAGGTCTTCAGTGAAATGCAGAACCGACCTCTCTTCCTTGAGGAAGAAGAGCTTTGGCTTGTTTTTAAGAAAACACATCACTTTGTGCCACCAGATGGCCCAGGTGTCAAGGCCACTTTGTAGACGGGTGGGGGTCGACAGGATAGCACCTTTGTTCTCGGGGTTTGCGAGGACACGAGGACACGAGAGGGGCGGTAGGAGACACCATTTTCTGCTGTTCCCTGGAGATGCTGTTCACAGTCGTGCATTGCCCTGCGCTCTCCACCGAGGCTGTGAGTGACCAGACCCTCGTAAGAAGGTGTCGACTCACAGGGTTTGTGTTTAAGAAATCCTTTTAATCTTGGCTTTCCAGAAACGAAACATAGTCCAGCACCTCACATGAATTAACTTCGACTGTGTGTGTAAATGAAACGCTAAGTGAAGGATTCTGCAGGGTTAGTGCGGGGACTGGGCAGGGAGAGGGGGACAGTGCACGACTGACACCCAGAAAGGAAAGAGAAACGAAGCTTCGGGGGCCTGGGGGAGGTTCCGATCTTAATCAGGGTGTAAGACGGGGGTTCAGCTGTGCAAGGGGGGATGCAATCCCAGGGCTGGGCGCCGACACCCCACTTGCAGGGTGGGCAAAACACATGGCGACTTTTCAAGCTTTTCCTTAAAAAAAAACAACCACCTAGCTACCCGGGTGGGTCCGGAAGGCGCAGGTCCCCCGCTCCTCCGTCCAGGGGCGCGCTAGCCCTGCGCCACCTTCCTGGACACCGTCTGGTAGAAGACGCCGCGCAGCAGCGCCTGGTAGCTGGGCACGCGGAACAGGCGGCGCTCACCGAACGCCGCGTCGTACTCGGCCGCCTTGCCCGTGACCAGGACGCGGACGTGCGGCTCGTTCACCTGGCGGCCGACCGCCAGCACGAAGACCTCGACGCCGGCCTGCTGCGCCTCCTGCGCCGCCTTCTCCAGCGCGGCCGCCGTGGCGCCCTGCGAGTGGCCGTCGGAGAAGAGCAGCAGCCGCTTGGCGGCCGCGCGCGACGAGGCCTCGCGGTAGAAGCGCGTGGCGTAGCCGAGCGCGTCGGCCACGTCGGTGGCGTCGTTGAGGAAGTCCATGGCGTCCAGCGCGCCCGCCAGCACCGTGTAGTTCTGCAGGAAGCGCAGCGCGGCGCGCTCGGGCCGCTGCTGGCCGCGCCCGCTGTACTGCGCCACGGCCACGCGCACGTCCTGCGCGGGGTCCGCGCGGCCGGCCGCCAGGAAGCGCTCGGCCAGCCGCTTGGCGAAGCGNTAGGAGATCACTGAAGCCCGAGATGGAAGTGCCCCCTGCTTGGGGCACCCAGCAGTTGGGCTGCACCTAGAGGGTGATCGTCTTGGAGCCGTGCCAGGAGACCTTCGGAAAGAGGAAAGCTCAATGTGCAACTCCAACTGCAAGGAGCTGGCCCACAGCTCCCAGGAGAAAGGAAGGGGCGCAGCCAGCATGGGGTGATGGGCCTGATGTGAGGAGTGAGGGGTGTGGAGAGTGGGGAAGTCTATTAAAATATGACACGAGGTCACAAGGATCGGGGTGAGAAGTAAAGACAGGGTGTACAGTTTTCTAACTGACATAACCTCATAACAAATTACCACTAATTTAGCAGCTTAAAACTACTCAAATGAACCACCCCTTGGTTCCCGTGGGTCAGAGGTCTGGGTGCAGTCCAGCTGGGTCCTGCTCAGGGTCTCTCACGGGCTGGAACCAAGCTTTCAGCCCATCTCCTCTGAGACTTGGGGCCTCTTCCAGATTCGCTGGTTGTTGGTGGGATTCGGTTCCTTGTGGTTGTGGGACTGGGGTCCCTGTTTGGCTGTTGGCCACTGTCAGGTTCTTGCTGCCTGATCCCCTCCAGGGACAGTTCATAGGACAGCCAGCAAGAGAAATCTCTCTGACATCTGACTCACCCAAGAGAATGGTCCATCTGATCAGCTCAAAGCCAACTGATTCGCAACCTTAGTGACTGCACCATCCCTGTGCCACATAATGTAATTCCATGCCAGTCACACTCGGGAGGTGTGGGTAGTATACCGGGGGTGGGGTCCAGATCAATAAAACAATACCATGTGTACCCACGAAGAGGGTGGTGTGGCTGCATTAACAGCATCCCAGAGGGAGGGGTTCTCATGGGGATTTCCCACCCTGGCAGGTGGGACAGGTGGCAGCAGGGAGCAAGAAGGGAGAGTTCAAGAGCTTGCGGCCCTGGTGTAGCCGGGAGAACCAGCGGCAGCAGTTCTGCCCTTTTCTTAAGACAGGATGTCTGCACTGACCTTGCACATATAGTCCTAAGAATTTTGACAAGCACACACCCACATAACCACACCATCAAGGTAAACAACATACCCCTTATCCAAAAAGCTGCCCGTGTGCTCCCAGCCAGCGCCCACTGCTGCCTGCTTCCCACCGCCGCCCATCCGCTGCACCTGTCCTTGGTTTACTGCAGACAGACACTCGTGTCCTCGGCTGGTTTCTCATGCAGCGCAGTGCGCATGACACTCACCGGCCCTCTGCTCCCTGCTGTCACGGTCGTGTTCACGGCCCAGTTTGCTTGTCCATTCTCCTATAGTTGGGCAGTCGGGGTGCTTCCCGTTTTGGACTTACGAACTTTCTCCTCCGAGTCTTCGTTTGGATATAGGTTCATTTGTTCTTCACTCTTGGCCAGTGCTCAGGAGGGGTGGCGGAGATATATGGAGGGAGCACGTGTGGCTTGGGGGGCTGCTGATGGTGCTGAAAGGGTTGTATCGTTTCCCAGCACACTGGCAGCGTGTGAGGCTCCAGGGGCTCGCAGCCTGCCAACCGGCGGTGTCGGCGTGGCTACAGCCATTCTCGTGTGCTGTGTGCTCACCGTGCATTTCCCTGAGGAGGCGTCCAAGCCTTAACTGGAAATGTGGGTCTCAGTCTCTTGGGGATTCTCAGTGCTCTGGGGAGGGCACCACTTTCTAGCAGCCAACCACATCCCTGCTGTCGTCACCACCATCTCTTTCGAAAGTGGCTGCCGGACCAGCAGATGGGGACTCTGGGCTGGAGACCCCTCGGGCAGGGCTGGCTCCCGAGGGTCTTGGCCAGTGAGCTGCACGGCCAACAGTCCTCCAACAAGCACCTCCCATGTGCTTTCAAAATTATAGGTGGAAAATGTTTCTTCCTGCATATCCTTAGCTTAAAAAAATGCATGGAAAGACTGAATATCAGTTGTAGTAATAAATGTAAATGTTTGATTNTCGAGTGGGGCTCCTCACACCTTTGCCGCCATGATCTCTAGGAAGCCACCAGCGCCCCAGCACGACCGTGCCCAGACCAGCCACCGACCTGACGACCTTCAACAAATCGTGGCTTGTCCTTTGGCCCGTGTCTGCACGGCACGGGCCGCCTGTCCCCAAGGCTGCTTCCTTCTATGCGTGTCACCCAACCTCTTGTGGACTTGGATGGGACCTGCGACCCCAGGCCAGGGGTCTGAAGGATGATGCGCTGAGAATGCCTGGGGTGGGGTGGTCCCTGGGGTGGTCCCAGCACCCCCCAGAACTCACAGCCTCCTGTCTGCTCCGGGTCCTGACTCCCGCTCCTGCGCAGCCCGCCTGCAGGGTCGGCCCCCACGCCCCTCCCCTCCTCCGGCATGGCCTCTGGAAGGCGGCACACCCGGGAATTCTGGAACTTTCCATGCACTGACTCACCCAAATTGACCTCCAGCCAGGATCTCACACCTGGGCTCCAAAGGTTAACCGAGCTCCCCCTCCCCCGTGTCTCCAGGGGGCTCCGACATGTGGTGCTTCCTCCAACTCAGACCTCAGTGACTCCGCCCCACCAGCTGGGGGGCCCCTAGGAACCCCCCAGGCTCCCTCACACCCCTCTGCTGCCAGCCCTGCCCACATATGCCCCAGCATCCGTCCCCCACAGCCCTGCTCCAGCACCACCAGGCCGGGGCACCGCCATGCACTCTGAGGACAGAGCTGGGGTGCAGTGGGGGTCTGTGCACTCAGCTCTGTGTCCTGCCAGGTGCCCACCAGATGGAAAAGGGGTCCCTCTGTAGGTGCTGGGCATCCGGGGGCCACAGGAACTGGGCCCACCCTCACCAGCCCTCACTCCCTCGCCCCAGCTGCCCCCAGCGCCCCGCAGTTGGCTACCGGCCTCCCACACCCCTCTGGTCTCCCACGTCACACCCCCTGTAAGAGAGAGACCTCCCCACAAACTCGGGGTGTTTCTGCTGTTGGACCGGCCTGGCTCCCATGGACGCCCCTCCCAGATAGCGGGCTTCCTACCGGGTCTCCGGGGACACCGACAGGGCCTTCTCGTCCCTGGTCACCTGGGGCTCCGGCTTCACCCTGGGGAGGAAGACGCTGTTGAAGTGAGGAGCCACTACCTACGGCGCAGCCGGCTCATCCTGCTCGCACTTTCCCGCATTTTTACCACAATGTGGCCACGCGCTCGGCTGTCAAGTGGCTTGTGTGGTTTCAGAAGGCCCAGCAATGAGGCCGGCAGCTCCCCGAGGTCCTGGCAGCTCCTGACGCTGCCTGTCCTCCAGGGGAGCTCACTAGTAGGGTCGTGGGGGCTGGGGACCACCAGCCACCAAGGGTTAACCCTGGAGGCGGGGCCTGGCCTCCAGTCCCATTTCCTGATGTCGGGGTGGGTTTCGAAGGGGGTCTGAGCCCCATTACCCCTGCTCTGACGTCCCTCCCTGTGGCAGGCAGAAGGCCCAGCCCACACCTGAGGTTGGGAAGTCAGCATCCTTTCCCCCAACTCCCGAGCGATGGGGTGGGGCCTGTCCCCCCAAAACAGGCACAGAGTATGCCTGGTGCCCGCCCTCTGGGTGCAGCAAAACCTTCCCACTGAACCACAGGCCCGAGAAGCCCTGCTCGGCCACTGGGCCACCAGCCTCTCAGCTGCGAGGTTTGAGTGGCCACAGCTTCCCAACCTTCCTGCTGTCGGAGCTTTGGCAAAGGGGAATCCTTCGAGAGAAGAGCCCAGGCTCTGCCTGCAGGGACTGTCGGGGGGCAGCGGGGGGGCGGGCAGGGACTCAGGAAAGCCAGGTGTGCGGGCCCGGGGGCCGGCTAAGGAAGCCGTGTCACATGGACAGTCCTGCCGCCAAACGAGCGACAGACATGCCGCCTGACAAGATGCGAGGCTAGAAGCAGAACCAGCCGCCATGAAGGGCGTTACAGACACGACGACGGCAGTCCCACAGGGAACACGGCCACACGGGCCAAGACCTCGCAGGGCAAGCCCACTGCGTGAGGGTGTGAGTTCCAGGTGAGGCGCCCGGCCCTGCCCGCCTGGGCTCCCTGCACCCCGAGGTGACTGCTGGGTGAACACAGGGGCTGCTGCTCTTCCTGTGCGGGGGTGGGGGGTTGGGGGAGGCAACCTCTCTTTGGGGAAGACAGAAGGCAAGGGTGTGCGTCACCTGAAATCTAGGGGCCAAAGGGACTTGGTGGTGTGTGCCCTGTGATTCTGACAGCCTGTCCCCGGCCTGGCCTCAGCCTGTCTCCCCCAGGGGGCTCCCAGACTCACCGGGTCTCCTCTCGGGCCCCGCGCTCCTGGGGTCCCCTGTGGTCCTCTCTCCCCAGGGCCGCCCTGTGTGCAGAGAAGCAGGGAAGAGGGGCTGGCATGGGAGGGTGCTCAAGGCTGGGCACAGGGCGGGCGGCCCCAGGAGGAGCCCAGCGGGCGCAGGGCCACATGTGCCCCTAAGCCCTGAGGCCCACGGCACCATCCCAGCAGACTCACCCGATCTCCGGGGGTGCCACCTGGTCCCGCATTTCCCTGGGGTGGGGGAGAATGAACAAGACCATTAGTTTGGGACAGAAACCCAGACTGAGGGTCAGGAGTGGGGTGCAGGGGGCCACGTGGGTGCTCACCTCGTCGCCGGCCTCACCCTTCTCTCCCGGGGGCCCAGGCTCTCCAGGGTCTCCCTGGGAAGACAAGTGGACACTCAGCCATCTCTGGCCTGGCCAAGGCCCAGAGCTGCAGCTGGCCCCTGGTCCTGGCGGCCCCTCCCAGGGCTTGGCCTCCACCCTTGCTGGGGTGCATGCTCACCTCATCTCCGGGGGGCCCCGTGCTCCCCTGCTTTCCAGGCTCCCCATCAGTTCCAGGCTCGCCCTAGAAAGATCAGAAGGGTCAGCCACACCCATCCCGTCCTCGGGGTCCCGTGACCCCAGGCTGGCCCTCCTAGCCCACACGTCAGCTGTTGTCTCTGACCCACCGCTGAGCCTGGACATGGCGAGCCCTTCCCCACCACCCACACTGCCACACGCGCCCGGCGGCTTCCCCGAGCTGCCCAGTCCTGGCAGGGGTGGCCAGGCTGCCTCTAGTGAGGCCCAGCTTCCCGGCGGACTCAGCTCTGGGCCCGCGCCAAAACGTGCCAGCTGGAAGGCGAAAACGCATTCCAGGAAATGGAGGGTTAGGACCCTGAGGGCAGAGCCCACACTCCTTCTCTGTCTCCCCCAGCACCTCCTGTGGCGATAAGAGACCCCCAAAACGCAGGCAGCGGACAACTCAGCTTCCAGCTGGACCCCGACTGTTACACCCCTGCTCCACTTTCCTGCCNAGCATGCAAAGACAGGAAAAGAAGTTGGAATAAGCTAAAATGTCCCTGTTATGGGCCTCTGGGGGGTAGGTACCCTTTTAAATTTCCATTCTCTTATTTTTTTCTGCGTTTTCCAAATGCTTAAAAGTCCCACAGACCACAAGATGAAATGAAACATTTATACATGACAGTGACATAGAGGCTTCTCCCAGGACAGCGCTGGTGGAGGGCAGGGGGCCGGGGGCCGGGGGGTTACTCACCTCGAGCCCTGGGGGCCCCTGGTCACCTCGGTACCCTTTAGGTCCAGGGGGGCCCGCGTCACCCTGCAGAGAAATGGACATGTCACACGGGACCCTGTCTGCCCCCCCGGCCCTGCTGACCCCACTTGCTGGCCTGCTCCATCTCTGCCCCTCACTGGGTCAGCACCTGCCCTCCGGCCCAGGGTTTTGTCCTGGGCGCCTCCCAGGTATCCCCGGCCAAGCAGGACGGAGGAGGCCAAGGGCACGCCACTCGGGGACCACGGTGACCCCACACTCAGTCGCCTGTGCGTGGGCCCTGGCCTTAGCTGTGAGGTCCTTGGACGTGGTCCCCTCACGACTGTCCCCTCAGCCAGCCCACAACCACGACCAAGCAGCGGCAGCACCACATATCGGGACACTGGCCACGAGGACCAGCAGCCCCAACTCGGGGTCACAGTCTGGGCCCTGAGAGTCCATCATGGGACACGAAAAGGGAGCATGGGAGGCAGATGGAAATCGAGGCTGTCTGGGCCCTAGGCCAGGCCGATGGGGGGCCGGAGGCTGTGGTGATGGCACCTGCGGGTCCCCCCTAGAGCACCCTGAGGAACAGGAAACAGCGACCCCCAAAGACGGCGGGAGACCAAACTCTGGGCAGCATCTGTGCAGAGCTGCGTCAGTGGGAGGCTCCTGGGACGAGCCGGCCTCCCCGCTCCACTCCTGTGGAAGCACTGGTGTCCCCACAGCAGGGAGGGGTGGCGCCCCTGAGGGGTGGGGAGGAGGATGAAGGAGGGCTTGCAGGCTGGACACACAACAGAAGACCCGGAACCCTTTCCTCCATGGTCTGTGTTTCTCAACTGCTTTTTCTTGGGACTTGGGAAAACACATTTTTCCAGAAACTTCTGCAGGGACACCTGGTGTGGGAGCCGACCACAAGCTGGGTCTGGAGTCGTGGGGGCCCTGGTGACGTCGGGAGGTTTGCAAGAAAGTACGCTGTGACGATGGGCTTGCCAGTCACAGAAAAAAGCCAAGCCGGGTCCCACCTCACTTCTGACCCAGAATCCATACTCCAAACAAAGCAAAGACAAAATGCAGCAAGAGGGGTGAGCGTGTTTGCAGTCTTGTAAATGAGCAGGGCATCCTAAACATGAACTTGAAAAAATGCCTGCAGCGCGGAAGAGCCGCATGCACTCAGCGTGGGACATGGACTCCAGTGGAACATGAATGACCATGGGGACAGCCCAGGAGCGTGACACCCAAGACCATGCTCGGCTTTTCCCAAGAGAGGACACCGTTTTCACCTGAGGACCTGAAACACACATTCCACGTCTGGTAATGTGTCATGTTGGCCAAGGCGGGGCTACGATCTCTGTTTTACCCTCCTGGAGGGGCCATTTGGCCAAGAAATTCTGCTGCTAAGAATTTATATTCTGGATGTAGCCTTGGAAGTATTTCATGATGGATGCATGGATAATGGATGACAGAAGGCAGAGAGATGATAGATACACGATAAAGACATAGATGATGAATGGGTGGGTGGGTGGGTGATTGGCACGGTAAGTGGACAGGTAGGTAATACACAGTGGATGAACGACGGGTGATCAATGACAGATACATGATACAACAGACAAACATGATGGATGGATAGATAGATAACAGATAACGGATGGCTAATACATGACGGATAAGATAGAAATGACAGTAGATATATAGATGATAGAAAGAAAGGTAGGTGATGGATGATGGACAGATGGACCGACCGCTGGAGAGACAGAGGAGCTGCCAGGCAGACGGATGTTGGTATTCACCACAGTACTTTTCTGTAAAGCGAAATGCTGAGGACAGCCTGTGTACGTGTTGGCGGGACACAGTGGGGCAGCCGGGGTCTGAGAAGGCGCGGGCGCTCTGTGTGGCTGGCTGACCACCCAGTCCGACAACAGCGTCGGGTCTGCTGCTGCTGCTGGTGGAAAGAACGGGCCTGCACCCACTCTCACACACCACGCTTTTCCTAGGATTCTAGAACAAGCTAGAGTTTAGAGAAAGTAAACACTGGTGCGTGCTGGGAGTGGGGCGGGTACCGGGCTCTGCTCTTCCACATGGCTACAGATTTTAACCACTTCCCTCTCACAAGACAAAAGCAGGAGGGACAGCTCTCCTCACGGGGCTTTCTGTCTGTGGCCTCGCCCTAAGGAGAGTCCCATCAAGTCAGGTGCCTCCCGCTCCATGCCCACGGGGTCCCCAGGCCCGTGGGGACAGCTGTGCTCCTCAGACACATGGCTCCCGGCAGGCTCAACGTGGGATTATGTGCGAGGAAAGTTTTCCACTGAGCTGGCCCCTGAGTCTGGAGACAGCTGTCACTTATCGCATCACGGCCTTGCTCGCCCCGTCCCCCCCTCCCCGCCCCCGAATGGGCCCCACACGCCTCTAATGCTCCCTCAGGAGACCTGGCAAGACAGCTCTGCCCTGTTGTGGATGCTGCTTTCTTAGCCTTTACATTCTTCTTTTTTCTTAAAATTCCAATTCCAAATTTTTCCCCAAATTTTTACCAAAAAACTCAAAGCCACAAGCCAAGCCCTACCAAAGCCTAAGGCTCAGCCCATCTCACAGCCCGCTGCCTGGGGCTCTGTGACCCCCACTGTCCCCTCCTCCCGCCCACTGGGACACCACTGCTCCTTTCACCCAGAGCAGGAGGGGCATGGGGATGGGACGGAATGTGACCATCACAGGAGCAGTGGCACCCAGGCGGGGAGTCAGGTGGGTCTGAGAGCCCCTGGGAGGCTTTAGAGAGAGGGTCCAGGAGGAGGCACCCATCTGTCACCTGGGCCCCCCGGGCGGTCTCCTCGTGGGGCAGGAACGAGGCAGAGAGAAGCCCACAGCCCTGGAGACGCCTGGCCACACCAGCCCCGCCCTGGAACCAGGCGCCTGAGGCCGGCTGGCATCCTCGCCCAGCTCTTCCACCTCAGCACAGCCAGGGTGACAGCCCTGAGGGCCTCTGTACAGACTGCCCTGGAAAGGGACCTGGGACAACACAGTCACCCAGCGACAGTGGCGGGACAGCAGGGCCCTGGGAAAGCACTGAGGATGAAGATGTGTCCCAGGCCAAGAGCAGAGCAGAGTCACTCAACACCCCGGGCTGGACGTGGAGGGCGGAGCGTGGACCCACCAGCAGCGCCATCCCAGCTTCAGAGGACAGCGGCCCGCACGCCCCCTAGGAGGCGGCGGGGTGGGGCAGGCCTGGCTGGACTCTCCTCTGGGAGTGGGGGCTCGACCCCTTTCCAACCAGGACGTCCTCATCACACAGACTGTTCTGTTTATGTTTACGTGTCTACGTGTGCGTCATCTGCCCCCCCACCGGAATGCCCACCCCCAAGGGCGGGGCCAGGCTCTGGAAGGGGGCTCAGCAGGGCCTTCAGTGCCCCCAGGTTGGCCTGTGTTCGAGTGGGGCTCCTCACACCTTTGCCGCCATGATCTCTAGGAAGCCACCAGCGCCCCAGCACGACCGTGCCCAGACCAGCCACCGACCTGGCGACCTTCAACAAATCGTGGCTTGTCCTTTGGCCCGTGTCTGCATGGCACGGGCCGCCTGTCCCCAAGGCTGCTTCCTTCTATGCGTGTCACCCAACCTCTCGTGGACCACTTGGATGGGACCTGCGACCCCAGGCCAGGGGTCTGAAGNCCCCCAACGAGTTGACACTAGGGCGTCTCCATGGGAGGCGCAGCGTGGCCATGCTCACGGGCGGCGCTCCTGGACATGTGGCCAGCCCCCTGCCTGGCCCACTCCACCCCACAAGGACGGGGTGCGCCCTTATTCAATGGTGGGTCTTTGAAGTGATGGGACGGCCGCCAGCACCATTTCGTGGCCCTCACACCAACCCAGGGAGGGGTGTGGCAGTCTTGACCTCCTGAGAATAGGGAAACCAAGGCCCAGACAGGAGAAAGGGCTGTCTGCCAGTCAGACACCCCGTGACATGCTGTCTGTGCCACTCTGTCCCCCAGCGATGCTGACCATGTCCCCATTGGGCGGGGAGAGGGCCCAAGTCTGACCCCAGCATTCTGGCTGTCAATCAGCTGCCCGCAGGCCCCTGGCTGGCCGGGCCCCTTGCCTACCTATGCAGATCTGGGTGGTGATGTTCTTCAGGAAAGCATCCTCCAGCAGTTCCGCGTAGTTCTCCTTGACGAGCGAGATGCCTGGCTGGCCCTGGGGTGCCAGGCCTTGGCAGGAGATGACATTGAGCTGGTCCGAGCCCGCAACGAAGCCGAACACGTCCTTGATGCCCACAGAGACCACCTGCAGGGAGGGACAGCATCAGTGCGGCCCTGGTGGAGAGCGCCGCACACTCCAGGGTATGCGGGTGGCCGCGTGCAGCGTGGACATGGTCCCACCTGGATGTTAGGGCCGCAGAGCACGTTGAGTGGGGTGGTGTCCCTCTGGGTGTCCGAGCGGCCATCTGTGATGACCAGGGCGATCCGGTTGTTCTGCGTGGGTGGTAGGAGCCGGTCCCGGGTGTACTGCAGGGCCTCGCCTGTGAACGTGCCGCCCGCCATCCACTGCAGCTTCTTGATGGCTCTGCGGAGCCACAGCACTGTCAGCACCACGCCGGGTCAGGGCTGGGGCCCAGGTCAGGTACAGGGTCAGCACTGGGGTCAGGGGGCGGGGCCCAGGTCAGGTACAGGGTCAGCACTGGGATAAGAGGTCGGGGATCAGGTCAGGCACATGGCCAGTGCCAGGTTCAGGGGTCGGGCCGGGGCCACTGTGCTGCAGGTGGCTGAGGGCACAGTCTTACGCCTTGAGCTCCTGGGCGTTCCTGATGTTGGGGCCCCTCATGTCCACGTGCTCCTGCATCTGGTTATGGCTGTACTGCACCACGCCCGCATGTGACTGCCCGGGCTCGAACTGCGGGAAACGGGCGCAAATTCAGACACAAGCTCAGTTGCCGGGCTGCCTTCCACCTGCCGTCTGTCCCAGGCCCGACCTGGGAGACTCATGCTGCTGGGTTGGGGTGCTGGTTTTGAGAAACACGGCGCCCCATCTCCCATGGTTCCAGGACCCGTCCCCTCTCCAGCCTGGTGTCAGAACAAACCCCTGCCTCCTGGGGACCACCTTCCCCGGAGCATCGGGCCAGGGCCAGGCGCACCTTGACGAGCTCGTCCCGGCTCAGCCGGTCGATGACCTTGATGATGAAGTCCTTGGCGATCTCGAAGTTCTGCAGCCCGATGCTCTCGGAGCTGTCCAGCACGAAGAGGATGTCGATGGGGCCGCACTTGCACTCTGTGGGGGCGGGGTAGGAGGTGGGCAGTGCCAGCTGCTGTCCTGAGCCTGCACTGAGAGGACGGCAGGGCCCCGCCACTCACGGGGTCAGTCTACCCAAAGCTTAAAAAGTGACACTCACCACAGCAAGCTGGAAAGAGGGGAGAGAGGAGATTAGGTGACATGGAGACCCCCGTCACATAAACCCGCCCGCCAGCTCCCCGGCCTCCCTGGCCCGGCTCCTGGCCATTGCCCGGCGGGGGGAGAAGGCCAGCAGTGGGGGTGAGAGTGGCCCCGTCCCCGGGGACGCTCTTGCAGTGGGACACACACCCGCCTCTCCCGCTTGCCTCTCCCTCATGAGGGCACCAACGTGGGATGTGTTCTGTCTGGTTGAGACAGTTATTCAAAGATGGGGATACTCACAGCACATTTTCATGATGATGTCCAAAATCTCGCATTCCTGGAGGGGAAGAGACACTTGTACAGTGGGCTGAACTGGCCCACTGTCCAGCCAGGGCTGCCCCGGCCCTCTGGGTCACTCTCCCCCAAAACCACAGCCAGGCTTGGGGTGGGCAGGGGGTTCTTACTTCCAGGGTGTGCCCTGCTCTGCCTGTAGGCCCCTGCTTCCAGGGCATGGGCACCGGCTGTGGTCACTGACATGTAGCCATCATGTGACCTCCTGTGGCCATCACATGTACCCCTGTGGCTGACATGGGTTCCCACCCATTGGCCCGAGGGCTCAGTCCCCGAGGACATTCAGACGCCCCACTTACGTCCGGTCCTGGTGGTCCCGTGTGTCCTGGGGGACCCTGTCAGAGAAAGGATGGGAGAAAGGCCGGAGAGCGCTGCTCACTACCTGAACTGCAGGTCTGACGGGAGCTCTTGGCAAGCCCCCCTCGGCCTTCAGGACCCCACCTCCCATCCGGAGTCCCCTGAACCCAGGGGCAGCGAAGTGCCTGCACATTAAGGGCTAGAGCACAGCCAGGAACTGCCGCCCACTCTGTGACAATGGTCCAACACGGTCCCTCTCCTGGCGGCTAGTGGGTGGGCTGGCCGGGACCCTGTGTGGGGCTCACCCACACTCACTGCCCAGGTAGAAGGCTCTGTTCAGGCCATGGCAACCCTTCGGTGGGCAGAGGCCCCAGGCCTGGGTTTTCTGTGCTCCTGTCACTGTCACCTGGTGACTGGCCACCCCTTCTCTGCTCCCCACTCACCACCCCCAGTGCGCTCCTTGGAATTATCTGTTCCCTCTGATACCACCTGTCAAAACCCCAACCTTCCCAGCCCTTCCCCAAATTCCCAGCCCCCCCCTCCATCCGCTACAGCCTCCAAGTCCCAGGTGCACCCACCGCCCCGCCAGGGCCACCCTGCCATCACTCACCTGGGGGCCTTCGGGTCCCCGATACCCCTTTGCACCTTTGACCCCAGGGGGTGAAATGTCATTGTTCTGGAAGGAAACAGCATGTGTCACAAGCACCGCGGTGCATGTGGCCCTCCCCTCGGCGCCTCTCCAACGGCACTTGGCCACCTCCCTGCCCGACCCCCAGCGCCTGCAAACCCAGAGGCCAAGGCCAACTCGGGATGTCACAGCATTTGGAGCGGGGCTGCACTCACGTCCTCTCCAGGGTCCCCGGCTTCTCCCTCGTCTCCCTTGAGGCCGGGGTAGCCTTTAGTGCCCTGCAGGTTGACAGCGGAGCACGCAGTTAGCGGGGTGCACTGTCACAGAGCAGGCACACGCATGGCTGGGACCCGGCCCACGTCTCTGCGGGCGACCAGCTGGGCCCCTCGATAGCAGGGCAGTGGGGACCCCCCAAGGCACCTGGCTGCTGTTCCTCTTCACAGAGCTTTCTATTTTAAACAATCTACTGAGGCACAGTTTCCTTCGTTAGGAGGTTTTAGAAGGAAAAGATAAAGGAGACACTAAATGCCCCACCCCCACCCCACCCTCCCATGGTACACGTTTCCTGGGGAGAAACTGAGGCCCAGAGCACAGAGGACACCCTGAGGTTTGGGGGAGTCTGGGGTGCAGCCCTGCTCCTGTGCAGCCAAGGGCGGTGTCCGTCCCGAGGTGCAGCCCAGGCTATGTGGGGATCCCTCTCAACGGAGACTCATGGGAAAGGCCTTGGCAAGAGATTGGGCCAAGAACACTTGAGTTTGCACGTGTGTGCACGTGATGCCCGTGTTTGAACGTGTGTGTGCGTGCACCAGCAGCCCGATGGGGGGGGTGTACTCACGTTTATCCCAGGAGGGCCCCTGCTGCCCGGATAGCCCTGCAGGGGAAGGCAGGACTGTCACACCAGGCTGACACGGGTTCCCAGTGGACAATCCCAGCCACCAATTCCTGGGTCCAACCTGCCGGCCCTGGTGTGCCCAGCTGGGCAAATCGGGTGAAGGGGCAGGGATTGGGGGCACTCACGGGGAAGCCGGGGAAGCCCTCGGTGCCATTTCCGGGGGGTCCGTCTTCACCCTGGTGGAGCAGACCACATCCTGTCACAGTGGGGTCCACCCAGGCCAGGGACATCTCTGGACAGTGTGGGCACAGGAGTGGCGCCCGAGGGTCCCTCATCAGCCTGGAAGGAATCTCCCAGCCTGGACTGCCCTGCGGGTCCCATGCCCACTTATCCTCAGATCTCCGAGCAAGTGGGCAGTAAAGTGTCCGCGTGTTCAGTGCCCATGGTGACCACAGACAAAAGGGTCACTTGCCTGTGAAGGGTGTTCCCTGCCCAGTCACTGCGGCCAGGACCCTCAGTTAGACCCCACGAGCCCAGGGCTCAAACCCAGAGCTGCCAAGGTCTCGTGCAGCCACGTGTCCGCCCCTCGAGGGCCCTGTGCCCTTGGGCCTGTCACTCACCCTTTCGCCCATCAGCCCGGGGTCTCCGGGGGGTCCTGTGGGCCCTGGGGCGCCTCTGGCACCCTGAGGAGGAAAGAGGAAGGTTTGGGGAGAGTAAGTGGGCATCTGAGTGACGAGAGACGCAGGCTCACACACCTCTTAGCGGAAAAGGAGAGGGGGAATTAAATAAAAAGCAGCCAATGGTCCTGCGGCTCAAAGCCCACTCCTCCCATCCCATGACCCACTCAGGGCACCCAGGGTGTGACCAGAAACGGGCAGGGACCTGTAGGCAATTCAGATCAGCCTGGAGCCCGACATGGGTGTTCAGAGAGACGGGCGGACCCACCCACAAGCGTGAGTGGCTGTTCAAAGCGCAGGTCAGCAACGTTTTCAAAATCATTATTTGAAATTATTAAGATCATAAGAAAATTAAAATCATAAGGAAATGCTCATCATGTAAAAACCAAACCTGTGAAGTCAAGTTTGTAAGGCATAGCATGCAAAGACAGGAAAAGAAGTTGGAATAAGCTAAAATGTCCCTGTTATGGGCCTCTGGGGGGTAGGTACCCTTTTAAATTTCCATTCTCTTATTTTTTTCTGCGTTTTCCAAATGCTTAAAAGTCCCACAGACCACAAGATGAAATGAAACATTTATACATGACAGTGACATAGAGGCTTCTCCCAGGACAGCGCTGGTGGAGGGCAGGGGGCCGGGGGCCGGGGGGTTACTCACCTCGAGCCCTGGGGGCCCCTGGTCACCTCGGTACCCTTTAGGTCCAGGGGGGCCCGCGTCACCCTGCAGAGAAATGGACATGTCACACGGGACCCTGTCTGCCCCCCCGGCCCTGCTGACCCCACTTGCTGGCCTGCTCCATCTCTGCCCCTCACTGGGTCAGCACCTGCCCTCCGGCCCAGGGTTTTGTCCTGGGCGCCTCCCAGGTATCCCCGGCCAAGCAGGACGGAGGAGGCCAAGGGCACGCCACTCGGGGACCACGGTGACCCCACACTCAGTCGCCTGTGCGTGGGCCCTGGCCTTAGCTGTGAGGTCCTTGGACGTGGTCCCCTCACGACTGTCCCCTCAGCCAGCCCACAACCACGACCAAGCAGCGGCAGCACCACATATCGGGACACTGGCCACGAGGACCAGCAGCCCCAACTCGGGGTCACAGTCTGGGCCCTGAGAGTCCATCATGGGACACGAAAAGGGAGCATGGGAGGCAGATGGAAATCGAGGCTGTCTGGGCCCTAGGCCAGGCCGATGGGGGGCCGGAGGCTGTGGTGATGGCACCTGCGGGTCCCCCCTAGAGCACCCTGAGGAACAGGAAACAGCGACCCCCAAAGACGGCGGGAGACCAAACTCTGGGCAGCATCTGTGCAGAGCTGCGTCAGTGGGAGGCTCCTGGGACGAGCCGGCCTCCCCGCTCCACTCCTGTGGAAGCACTGGTGTCCCCACAGCAGGGAGGGGTGGCGCCCCTGAGGGGTGGGGAGGAGGATGAAGGAGGGCTTGCAGGCTGGACACACAACAGAAGACCCGGAACCCTTTCCTCCATGGTCTGTGTTTCTCAACTGCTTTTTCTTGGGACTTGGGAAAACACATTTTTCCAGAAACTTCTGCAGGGACACCTGGTGTGGGAGCCGACCACAAGCTGGGTCTGGAGTCGTGGGGGCCCTGGTGACGTCGGGAGGTTTGCAAGAAAGTACGCTGTGACGATGGGCTTGCCAGTCACAGAAAAAAGCCAAGCCGGGTCCCACCTCACTTCTGACCCAGAATCCATACTCCAAACAAAGCAAAGACAAAATGCAGCAAGAGGGGTGAGCGTGTTTGCAGTCTTGTAAATGAGCAGGGCATCCTAAACATGAACTTGAAAAAATGCCTGCAGCGCGGAAGAGCCGCATGCACTCAGCGTGGGACATGGACTCCAGTGGAACATGAATGACCATGGGGACAGCCCAGGAGCGTGACACCCAAGACCATGCTCGGCTTTTCCCAAGAGAGGACACCGTTTTCACCTGAGGACCTGAAACACACATTCCACGTCTGGTAATGTGTCATGTTGGCCAAGGCGGGGCTACGATCTCTGTTTTACCCTCCTGGAGGGGCCATTTGGCCAAGAAATTCTGCTGCTAAGAATTTATATTCTGGATGTAGCCTTGGAAGTATTTCATGATGGATGCATGGATAATGGATGACAGAAGGCAGAGAGATGATAGATACACGATAAAGACATAGATGATGAATGGGTGGGTGGGTGGGTGATTGGCACGGTAAGTGGACAGGTAGGTAATACACAGTGGATGAACGACGGGTGATCAATGACAGATACATGATACAACAGACAAACATGATGGATGGATAGATAGATAACAGATAACGGATGGCTAATACATGACGGATAAGATAGAAATGACAGTAGATATATAGATGATAGAAAGAAAGGTAGGTGATGGATGATGGACAGATGGACCGACCGCTGGAGAGACAGAGGAGCTGCCAGGCAGACGGATGTTGGTATTCACCACAGTACTTTTCTGTAAAGCGAAATGCTGAGGACAGCCTGTGTACGTGTTGGCGGGACACAGTGGGGCAGCCGGGGTCTGAGAAGGCGCGGGCGCTCTGTGTGGCTGGCTGACCACCCAGTCCGACAACAGTGTCGGGTCTGCTGCTGCTGCTGGTGGAAACAACGGGCCTGCACCCACTCTCACACACCACGCTTTTCCTAGGATTCCAGAACAAGCTAGAGTTTAGAGAAAGTAAACACTGGTGCGTGCTGGGA